TTAACTACGAAATCGGAGTAGATCAGTTTATTCAAGGTCTGTAGGCTCAGACCGACATTTTTATATACGAATATTAGGGCCGAAGTCCATCAGCCACATCTGAAAAAAGGGTTTCTAATTTTATCTTATGGTGATCTGTGAGGGATGGTTCTGATGCAGGGTGGGGTTATTTGTCACACAGTGAAGACGGTTCTGAAGTTGCTGATAGAGAAGCCTAACTTCTCACCAACGCAAGCGTGGGCTCTCAAGTCCACAACTCAACTCCAAAGCAAGTTAACTAGGACTAGTGTCCAGACAAAGGATTCCAAGTTCCAGGACTCGAATATGGAGGTTCTGAGGTTCTCCATGCTCCTACGGCAGCCTACGCCAAAGCCGTGTGATCCAGGTTTTGGCCCAGCCTTAAGGCCGTGATTTGGGCCAAGGGCTAGTGCCTTCATCGGTAAAATCTTATTTCGTAGCCGCATCTGTTAGGGGTCGGGGTTAGGGATTACGGTTATGGTCTAGGGTTAGGAATTCGTGTTAGGGGTTACATTTAGGAGTTAGTGCTAAATCCTCCTACTACCACCAGTCCCGTATGACAGGCGGCTGGTGCTTGTCTACTGAAGATGCGGCTACGAAATAAGATCCGACCCCTCTATTAATTAAGTCTGATTAAACGCATTTACTGACTCTGATGTCACACTTTCCTTCCGAGACGTTCAATTTTCCGTCTAGTTCGCTTTAAGAATAGTATGCAATTGAATGCCCATTATTAAATCGCATACGGTAAGTCGCCTCAGCTCTTCCATGGCCCGTAGTTATCGGATACTACTTCCTGAAAGTAAGTAACGGATCACCCTTTCGGTTGTCAACTGAGGTTACTGGAGCCCGGCAGTCTGATGGCGTTTTGAATGGCTAAAATTATGTGAACCTCCGTCCTGCTCTGGTCGATTTTGCCTGACCACTGCCAAAATAACCACACCGAAGAAGGGGCCGAGCTAGTTCTCAGTGAGTGCATGACCTCTGAACTCGTAGACTTCTGGTGTGTATGCCTGTCTCGAAGCCTGCTTCCAAGTTTTTCTAGCCTATGCACTGGATAGGTGTGGTGACATGTAAGTTGGAGTTGCAGGAGAACATATGGAATTCTCCAGGACACAACTTGTCAGTCTTCGCTCGAAGGTATTCAAACCAACTGTCTGCATGGAATACTAATGCTATTAATCATGTACAGAAGGGGAGGAGTAGATTGCCGGAGGAGTGCTTGTGCTTACCTCATCTGATTGGACTCCTCTGATTTTCAAAAGCAATCCGAAGATATCATTTTACATCTAATCAAGGATAGCAATAATAATTATTATTATAAGTGGTCTATTGAGGCTCTAGAACCGGGCCTGACGAAGGTATAAACCGTCATTTGCTAATTTGAGCTACGGTAGGCGGGCCAACTCATTAAATCTCGACAGGAATTCCGAACTGCGGTTCCGTTTCGAAAAGATTAATTAAGTAGGGTTGTAAAAATAATCATCATGCAGCAGAATCCTAGAATAATTCAGTTGCCTCAGGATGCCGGCTTTTGAACGAACTTCTTTCCGGCTGCATACAAAAACAACACTGTAAAAAATGACTACTTAAGTGGCATGCATTTCTCTCATTGATTTTCAATACCCTTAAATATCCGATTGTATTTCATGGAAAAAAATGCATAAAAATATGCATGCTTTTGCTCATTCGGTAGAAACTAACGTCTTCTTCCAATTTTTACTCGGAGAAAGGGTATAATTTCAGAAACTTTTCCAATTCCCGAATAATTTTGAACCCCACCTGCCGTTACAGTTGCATTCAGGGTTCCCAATCTACAGACCATATAATTTCCGCGCACGGAAAATAATGTATTTTTCTACGGTATTTAGAGGAGACTACATGGTGGTCATGAAGTTTAGCAGTGGATTTAAGCAATATTGTTAACCTTACAAGCCACTTTGGCAACTTCAGGGACATGACGTTTTACCAAGGGCCATTTCACGGCATTAAAAAATCTCACAATTGGAAGCTTTTTGGAGACTGAATTATCCCCTTCCTTCGAGTATGGAATTGAAGAACACATACTTTTCTACCGAATTACCAAAGGAATTAATATTTTTATGCCCGTTTTCCATGAAATATGATTGGACTTTTAGGAGCATCGAAAACAAATGATAAAAAGTATGCTACTTGTGTAACCACTTTTTACAGAGTGGGGTTTTTTGCATGCAGCCGGAAAGAAGATCGTTCGAAAGCCGGCGTTCCACGATAACTGAATCATTATAGAATTATGTTGCATGATGATTAGTTTTACAACCCTACTTAATAAATCTCTTGGAAACGAAAACGCATTTCGGAATTTCGGTTGACTTTCATGAGTTAGCCCTTCTACTGTGTATCAAGGACCAAAAAGGGGACTCCGTGGGACCGGTTGCTGAGCCAAATGCCCCGCAGTTGAGCCATAAATCAACGAGAAAATCGAGTAGACGCGTGTATGGCCCCTCAACTGTCGCTAAAGAGTTTTGCTACGAATGTGTGTTTGCGCGCCTTACGCGCACAAGGCGTCGCGCGGTGTGGACTTCAGGATCCACCAATGCTCCCTTCATCGGCCAGCCTAAAATTGTACTGAACTCACGGAGACCACCGACTAGGGGCGCCGTCTTCAACGCCTACTTGATTCACACAAAGGCCTTGCCGAGACGTACGCTGTCTGTAGCACAGGGAACGTACTCCTAACTGCTGCCGACCGGAGTTCCCCAGTTTACAAGTCTTTCTATGAAAGTGGATAAAAACCAGCAGCATGTCTCATGGGCCAGGGAAAGTTTGCACGGTTGTGCCAGCGGGTAAGAGCGTTTCAGGGGACGCTTGCTGAATGAAAAAAATCTTGAGGCGGGCAGCGGATGTGTTCCCGAAGATAGGATATGTTCACAAGTTCCTAACCATGTAATGATGCACTTGTGGGTGAGTCAAGGACACGTTCTAACATTGTGCTAGACTGGAAATTCTTAAGTCCTGAATATAAAGAGCCAAGCTTATTACCCTGGCTCATATACAAACCTACTGCTGCTTTAACGGTGTAGCCTTCTTCGACAAAGTTGGGAGTAGTCTGAACCAGGGATCGAGCTTGCCGATATGCACATTTACAAATCTCTTAAACTTACTCACTTCAGGAAGCAGGAGTGAGATGAAATTGGTGAAGTTTGAAGGAAATGCCGATAATCTGTGCTGGGAATAAGTTTTTTTATCCAAACCGAGTGTAGCGCCAATGTACACAAAAATCTGTTTATCTAGGAAGGGTGACAGACACGGCCATTAAGTGCCCAGCCTAATGCTTCCGTACTCATCCCAACAAAAGATGTAAACCAGCCCCACGGGACAGAGTTACAGAGCATTCTGGCTTTCAAGTGCAGATGCTTGAGTTACGGCACTCGAGTAGAACGAAAATGTAAGTCAGTGTTGTCTGCTTGAATTGTGACTTGAGATGGCAGTTGTGTAATAAGTAGCGCTCATCGAAAGTCCCTGCCAGGGAGTCCTTTGTGAAGGCGAAACTCACAGAGGGTGTCGATACAGACTCCGACATAGATGACTGCATCGTTCACTTCACACAGGATAATCCTATGAAGACTCACTGTACTATGCAAGGTGGAAAAACAGGTAAACTTTGACGCGCTGCGGTACACTAAACTTGGGAGTAGGAACTGCGCAAACCAAGTTTTTGTTTCAAGGACTTTTTAGAATGTTGCTTGAAATGTTCACATGCCCGTGCCTCGCAAGCGGACCACCCAAATGTCATTGCTGGTGCCCCGAACATGATTTTGAGACATCAGGTTGGAGTTTTTCCAAAACATTCGACGCATGCTAACTTCTTAAAACTATGTCTGCGTGCAAATCGTAAAATCGTTTTATACTCATACATGCAAAAAAGGAGTGTCAACGAGGATAAGTGACACTGGGTTGGAAATTTCCGCCACACTAGTCATCATCAGACAACCAGACGCGAGCCCGGGTTTGAATAGCCAGGAGTTCGAACCCGCACCCTCAGGTCCCTAAGTGGTAAGTCTAACGTCCTTGATTGGGCCCCAGAACGCAATGGGACTACCACGTTTAACAACCTGACCAATCGCACACACGTACATACATGCTATGACGTACCGATGATCGGTAAGGAGCGCGAAACAGCTGTCTGCGTCTGTCCTGTTGCACCCTTAGTGGGCTACGTGCATAATATATGCTATGCGGCTGCTTGCGAGGATCCTAGTTTGAGCCCCAAAGCACAACAAGAGCACGTTCCCTAACCTGATCGACGAGCGACCCTCTATCATAAAAAATCTTTTCCGATCACAGCCGACATGACAGCGGTCCTGTGGCTCAGTGGCAGAGTGTCCCAATCAAGGACAAACGATTCCGGATTCAAATCTTAGGTGATCCACACCCAGGGCTGGGTGGAACTGGCTAATAAGTCTGAACTTACCATCCCAGCCTCCCTCGTCATTGTCGCTACCACCTTATCTACCTTTGATACAAGTCGATATGCGACTACCTCTGGGGGTTCTAGTTTGATTCCCAAAGCCCAACGGCACGGGCAAGTTGCGTAACTTGATCGGTGAACGCTCCCATTCCATATGTTTATGTGGTGCAATGACGTTCACCAATCAGGTCACGGGAAATGCTCGTAAATATCTGCTTTTGTCTCTGATGATGGGCTCGAGCGGGAATCGGAAACGTCAGGCTAACAAAAGCTCTTGTCCCAGCGATGGCATCTCCTTCTTCATGATTGCTTCCGGGGACTCGTTTGTTCGCTTCTACTGACAATGTGTTTGGGCGCGATGCGCTTCGATTGACCCGATGATGCGAAGCCTTCGCCCTTCGAGAGGCCTCCACGTATTCACAGATCCGGTTTCTGCACGGGTGTCTCGACAATACTGTGTTACCGAAATGTGTTTCATACAAACTCCCGATTAACACGGATTTGGCGAGACAAGCAGCATTTCAGCCGAAGGATGATCCGAGTGCTCCTCCGCGCGAGACTTCGCAAGTACCGTCAAAGGATTGACCAAGAAAAGATTGGATGCTGTGAACTCATTGGCGAGATCGGTAAAAATCTGCTCCTGCAGAGGGTGGCTGAACAAGCCCGCAAACAGAGAGTGGTACGCGACGCAGCACTGGAGAACAAATTCCGAAAGTTGCCCAATCCAACTTCGTCCAGAAACGACAAGCTGGTGCACAACCTGTCTTCAAAGGATCTGACGAAGGATCAGATGAAGGTTTTACGGCACAAAGCTTTATTCAGCACGGCTGACGCCAAACCTGTTAACATGAATGCAGCAGTTGAATCAATCCTTCGTCAGACGGAAGCAATGGAGGAGACTAAGAGCCTTATCCGACACCAAGTGTCGTTTCTCCTAATGGCCCACAGGCCGCGGGAAGTGCTTTCCAAGGTCGAACGTGGTGTGCTTAGACAACTCAAGACCGACAAAGACCTAGTCATCGTGACAGCGGACAATGAACGCTCCACGGTTGTACTGGACAGGACAGACTATCTTCAAAAAGCCAAAGGTTTACTGGAGGGCCGACAGCTCTATGTCCCATGTGCAACGAACCCTGTAAAATCGCTGACACGCGAAATTAATGCTACGTTGTCGGTCTTGGAGAACTCAGGTGCAATAACACCGACCGACAGACGCATGGCGAGACTCCAAGATGCGACATTGTCACCTAAACTACATCTTCGGACGTAAAAACTGCTGGCATTGCATCTGCTGTAGGAGGACACTCTTGTCTGTGTGGGGCGGTTCCGAGTTCACTCACCTACACTGATGAACCTGCAGCGTGTGTCCCCGCCCACACTCCGCCCGCACACCCCCCGTTCAAACCCCCTAATTAGTCACACAGCAACCCTACGCTGCTTGTGTGTGCGTACGTGTCACCCGCTTGGCGTAGGCATGCGTCACGTCAGACACTGTTTCCAATCCGCCAACAGGTTCGGACAGGCCACTGACGTAACGCAGAGGGAGACAGTGTGGTGCCGGTACTGAGGTAACCCTGTTTCTGCTAAGTCAGCGCACCCCTCACAGGAGTAGATGTGACACGCTAAAACTGATCTTTCGCAGGTTAATTTTAATGAGCTGTGAAAATTCCCATTGGAAAATCCAAAAGGCAATTTGGCGAGCATACGTCTGCTTTCGATAAATTCTCTTCAGACCTGCACATTTATATGGCTATTGATGTAATGAATTAAAAGATAGGGGCAAGTAGATAATTAAGCTGTGGCTCGGGTTTGGTGAGGGGAGGGGGAGAGTGAAACACCACAATTGCAGTCAGTGCCAGGGAGGAAGTGGGTCCCGGCAAAGGTAATTACATGCGCGTGGCTGGCTTGGTGGATTTAAACCATGGTAACTGTGGGACCTGTATGGAGTTCTTCTGAGCGCATAGAACCGGTCCGTGTAGCCTGATTGCAGCCGCCTTTGCCGTAGCCAACAAGCGCTGCCCAAGCAGTTTTGGATAGCTTGATGGGGCCTTGCAAATCACTCTGAAGGCCTCTCTGGCGTCTACACAGTGGTCTGTGTCTACCATGTGCGCGTGGATCGGCCGGTTGATGTTCTTTATTTGACCCTTTCTTAACCATGCTGGGAGATGTTCTTTTATTCTTTTGGATAAACGCCGGCTCGTGCGACCAATATATTCTGCCCCACAAGAGCAACTGGAAGAGTAAATGCACATAGAGGTGGTCTGAGTTGATATTTTGTCCTTACCCTCTCCGTATAGGATGGGACTGGTGGAGAACAGTACACGGGTGTCAAGCTTAATTATCTACTTGCCCATATTTTTTAAATTAATTTCTTCACTAACCATATAAATGTACAGGCCTGAAGGCTATTTTAATGACATAGAAAACGGCCATCTGACGGATTATCTAGGCCCTTCTAGGTTAAAAGGGTCAGACGCACTGATTCCTTCCCTGTGTGGCTCTTATGCCAGATTTACTGTGTGTGAGATTGAGACTCCGATATGGCAGGCGTTAGACGACTACTTCTCGCTGCTTCAGGTGACAGTTCGACCGCCGATTTCGTGCGCTCCACAGCAGAGTGGGGGCAGGGACAGTGACTTGCACATCAATTACTTTATCATGATAGTGGATTGCGCAGCATCTACCGCACTCTCTCTCTCTCTCTCATCCTCTCCCACCTGGGTCCGCTATCAAGGCAGAGTCAAGAAGACCGGAGGCGGAGGAGGGCGCAGGTGGCTGGGACGACACGCGGCTCCGATTCCACTGAGTGGGGGAGCCATTGCAGCCTGACTCCAAGTCCACCACTCCGTCACTCCATGTAAACACATTGGGTTGGGTCAGAATTATCAAGTCAGCAACCTTCCAAGCCACGTGGTAGCTTCAAGCGGCATGGTGTTGCTGTGCGTTGCGGTGTGTATTCTGTTGGCGACCTTGTTTCTTTGTTGACGCGTCTACCTTTTTTGGCACAATGCCGTTAGTCCTTCTTGACTT